AGTCAGTCAGTCAGTCAGTCAGTCAGTCAGTCAGTCAGTCAGTCAGTCAGTCAGTCAGTCAGTTATTCAAATGAACTATTTCTGAGCAGACCAATTCGTTACCTTTGAAATAATGTACTCCTCAATGCCAGATCGATTGTGAAACACGTTCTTAACCTGCATAATCAACAACACTCCAACGGCAACAACGACGCCTGCCGCGAAGCCCAAGCTAAAAATGGCATGCAGCAGACCCAGCAAACCGAGTTCGACGATCGGCTCTTTGCCTGTACCGTATGCCAGATACCAAGGCTAAAGAAGTCAGTTATAGCGATCAACGCCGACTCCGTCGATGGACCTACCCGAAACAAGGCGCGGTATATACTGCAGCCGAGAACCACACAAGCGTGGCAAGAACCGACCACTGCCCAAAACAGGAACAGGATGAATGACCTCTGGTTAGCAAAGCCACAGCAGTTATTTATCCATGGACAGTGGTGGTCCATCTTTAAAACGCACCTAAATCACACTGTTTGAGATAGAATAAGGAAATGGTAAAGCTTAAGTTTCGAAAAGTTTCGTATCCGTCGATTACGTGTGTAATCGCCGAGTTTGTTTACAATAAATTCTTAAATCAGCAGCCTAGTTAAGTACAGAGAAGTACTACGAGCGATGCATGCACTCGTACCTATGTGTACAAAACAATAATACTCACAAAATCTAAGATCAGCATACAGGAGGTACATTACAGTGTGCTGATACGAATATATATCGCATGTCATATGCATGGTACCCATTATATTATATACATATTTACATGTAGCAAATAATATATGCCACCTACAACGGGATGTGTATATGTCATGCTAGACTTGTATAACATAATCGATGGATACATGTCATACTTGTATAATGTGTACGTTGTAAATGAACTGCGTAGATCATACATACCATATTCTGATACTGATGCTGAATACGCAAAAATAACATTATGGCATATACTTTACGACGTGCTATAATGGCATCGCGCTATCTGCCTCCTCCGTTCAGAACGGGTAGCGACTCCGTTGCTGACTGCTATCTTCGTCGTCGTTGCGTCGGT